GAAAGAGCACCGGCGCTGGCGGGAGCCAATCAGGGCGGGAGTGCCCCCAGGACAGGCAGAAGAGCAAGATCAAGATCGTAACCAGGACAGAACGTCTCCACGCAGGCACCGGAGTTTTACTCTGTACTTGGAGCTATGGACCGGGCTGCTACCCTGAGGGTGGGATAGGAGGCCTTCTCTGAGTCCTCTCACTTTCTGTGCAAATAGGCACAGCCTGGCCGGCGTCCTGAGCCACAGCACTGCAGGCTCAGGTCTCTGAGCTGGGCAGGGGCCGTCCAGAGGTACTGGCTTTTCTGAGTGGCCAGGACAAGACACTTCATGGGGGCTGGATCCCGGGAGGCTCACTGGGGTCCACACTTGGTGGGGAGCCCGCATAAGGATCTGAGCCTGGGACTGCAGGAGTAATGAAATGGAGGGATCCCAGTCTGGGGAAGAGCAGGGCATGATTGTAGGTACAGGACAGGCTTTGAGCTTTGCCCCCTGCCTGGCTGTGTGACAGCTGGTGAGCTCTTTCCTTCTCTGAGCCTCTGTCCTCTCATGCCACCAGGACTTGCTCCAAGCAGCTGTATGTCCTGCAGGTACAGGAGGGAATATGGCTGCAGGAAGGCGACCGACTCATGGCCGACGTTCCTGGTGTGGGCCACATGAGCTCCTGTCCTTGTCCTGCTCAGTCCAGACAGGGCCATCCCAAGCAACATCCTAGGATCTGCAACAGCAACTGACGGATGGCATAGCTTGGAGGACAGGAGCTCCCATGGCAATCCAGTGAGGCTTCTTGGAGGCAGCATGGTGGGGAGAGGAACAGAGATTCCAAACTCAGGTGGAAACCATGTCTCCAGCCAAGCTTGAGCTCCAAGAACACCAAGGCCATAGTGGCTAACAGGGCATGGGCTGGGAGGTGGGATAGGCCACGGTGGGAAGGCCTATCGTGCAGTCAAAACAGGGATGTGGACACTGTCTGAAGGCTGCAGGAGGACTTTCAGCAGAAGTGTTCTGGTCAGGCCTGGGTTGGCATAACCTGGCACTGGTGAGTTGGGGCTGCAGAGTGGATGCAGGCAACATTGGACTGAGGCCATACAGCATGAGAGGGAAGCTCCTCTCCCTTCTCTGGCCCCTCAATGATGCAGAGACAAGGCTGCCCACTCTGAGAGGTATGCCCTTTCCACCCAGTTCTGGGTAGCTGCCCACTGACCTTTCCTGGTCTCCCGATAGGTAAGTATTACTGTAAAATATTAAAGAGAGCACAAGCCAAAACCACTCATAAACCCAGCACCGGAAGTGAGTCCTGGCCGCTCTGTGGAATCTTTCTTATTGTGTGGGCGCTGGGGGCTCATGAAAGCAAAGCTCGCTAATGTCACATTAATTGGCATTCCCTAGGGCAGCAGGCTTCAAAATTCATGCAGGGAGGCTCCTGGGGCACCAGACATGCTGGGACATTGGCACAGGTAGCTTTAGGTAAGCAGTGACCGCTGCTCCCTACAGCTCAGCTTCCCTCTGTCCTCCTGAGTGAGTCTCTCCCTGCTACCTGGTGGATTTACAACACCACCCCACCCCCGCCACCCTGGGGCAAGGCAGCTGCTAAAGGGAAATAAAAACTGCAAAGCAAGATCAAAGTCTGCCCCTCACTTTCCAAAAGCCCTGAAATCTTTGCAGGTATACCTGTGCCATCAGCCCAAGGCCTGGCTGCTGCTGGTGGAGGTTAACAGACGCTTCTGTAGATCTCCGGACTTTCCACCACGCCATCGGGGGTTTCCATCACAGCCCCTTGCTGGCAAGTGACCTGCAACTGCTGGGACTGGCTGGAGGGGGCCCTGGTGACCCAGGCACACAGAGGGACCTTCAGCTGGCTGATGCCTTCCTGGGGTTGACCCTCAACTCCTCTGAGAGAAGCCAGGCACGGTAGTTCTGGGACCAGCAGGCTCCACCTCCAAGCCTGAGTGTTCTCTCCTGGAGGGAGAGAGCACAACCCTTCCTCCAGCATGGGTACTGCACCGTCAGGCAGGTCTAACCTACCACGTACCAGGCCCATCTCTGTGTCCCCACTCACTCAGTGTTCAGTGGTGACCCTATTAGGTCAGCATTATTACTGTCCCCATTCTACAGATACAGAGACTGAGGCACAGGGAGGTTAAGGAACTTGACCAGAGTTGAGGCCAGAGATAAGGTATGGCCCTTAACAGACAGAAGGACTCCAGGTGTGTGATCGCGTGTGCAGGTTGCCCCTTGGGGCGCCTAGGTTATATCAGGTGTAACCAGCCTACAAAGGGGGACATGTTATCTGTGTGGCATTTCCAGAAGTCAGGGTGGAGGGAGGTCCCACAGCAAGGGCTGGGGGTGGGCTGGGGCTTGGCCTGCATGTCTTGCCCAGATGGAGGCTGTAGTCTATGTGGGCCCAGAAGGGCCAGGCTCCCAGAGGTCAGGCACCTTGAATCAGGATGCCCTCAGGAGACTGGCAGCACCCAATTGGCCTCAGCTCAGCCCATGGAGTGGGCAGGAGAGGCCTTGGGCCCTGCCTCCTTAGCCTTTCCAAGGTGACTTGGTTCCCAGGAAGGCTGTGTACCTCCTGATGGCACAGTCCCAGGTGCTACCCTCCTGGCTCCCCATCAGTTGGGCAGCCCTCACTGGGCCTGTTCCCCATTGTAAAGAAAGGACTTTGCTTCTCCTTGTGGAGGGTAGGATGGGCATTCCAAATGGGCCTCCCAGTCAGGAGGGCTCTCAGCACCAGCGAGCACAGAGCTTCCCTGCTTGGTCAAGTTTATGCGGCAGGGCCCCTCCGACTGCTCCCTTCCTGCTTGTCTTGCCTCAGAACTGCCCCATTGATCAGGCCTCAGTTTCCCAGGTCTTGTCTCCCTGCTGAATCCCACAGCTGGTGGGTACTGAGCCCTCTTTAGACACCACCACAGTCAACCTTCTTTGGCCACAGCTCCCCCTCATGAGCACACATGGCAGCCCGAGCTCCCAGACAAAACCTATCTTCTCAACAGAGGCAGGCGGTGCTGCAGCAGGGGCACGATGCTCTGCGAGGCTGATCCACATGGAAGGGTGACTTGTTCACATCTAGAAAATTCCCTAGTACAGTAGGCACACATGTGCCCATGATCTAGGCTGGCTGAGGTCTGGGGTGAATCATGGCATCAAGACCCTGTTGGGAGTGCTGTCTCTCTCCCTGACTTTGTGGGATACACAAACAAATAGGGCCAGTCCATAAGATAGAGGTTAAGGGAGTCAGATCTCACAGGGCTGTCTATGGTTTCAATCCTCGGCCCAGTGGCTTGAGAAAACATGCCAGACATATATGTGCCCAAAGTCCCAACAGGAGGGAGAAGTGGGGGAGAAGAGATTATTGAGTGACCATGCCCCGTTGAGGGTGCTTTCTCTCTCTCTCTCTGTGATAAGTGCATGTGTCCTCTGGCAAAAATAAGGACATAGACAAGTAGGGGCCATGTTGGCAGATTAGTTTGTTTTTACAGGTTTGGGCATCTGCCACACAGACGGACCAGCAGCCAGCTGGTCAGCCTTGCTTCAAAGAGGCTCAGGAGAGCAGAGCCCCATGCTCTGGCTGCAGGGG